ACTTTTATGATCTTTATATAATGTGGTAACTCGTTTCCTAGGAACTTAAAATAGTTACTCATTACCCTTATACTGCATCCCATATAAAGATGGGGTTGCTAAGATGGCAAAGAGAGGCTGGGTGATGTGTTAGAGGACCAACAGAATCTGTCCCAGATTCTAGATCTTATTTCCCCAGTTCACTGTGTCTTGGCACCTGGATGGGAGCATTGCAATTCTGTGTTTCCACATTTTCATAAGCTAGTTTCTAGAACTTCTTACTTTTTTTAAAAATCCATTCCCTAAAAATAAAATAGCCCCCAACCAAAACTCAGCTTAGGCCAAACCATCCATCATGATCTTCATTTGGCTGAAGATATAAAAGTTGGCAAAGCCCATATTCAAAACTCTAAAAGCAGCCCTCTCTTTTGATGTGGGTGGCATCAGCCCTGGTCATTGGCCTTAGGCTTGGATGGCCTGAATTATCTGCCTCTGTCATGCAGCCTTAGCTAAAATAGAGCTAGCATGAAGAGCTAGCATGAATAATTTAAAGCCATTCCCTTTCTCCTCTGCAGCTTTCCCATGCCAAGCTGACCATCATTTCAGGGCTCGCACAAATGTACAATTCCTGTCTCTGATGAGCATTTCCCAAGGAAGTGACTTGGAGGGGTGCAGATTTCCCAGGATGAGGGCTCAGGCTGGGCAATGTGCCTGTGTGCATGCAGCCTCACTCTGTGTTTCCTTGGGAACTTTAGATTCCAGTCTCCCCCTCCTCCTGATCCAAGTTGGATGCACATCATTTGGATGTGGGCCTTTCATCTCCCCTTTTTTCTCTTTGGGGATCAGTTTAAAGATACTAGACTCACTGCCTTTCTCCTTTGGAACATCTCACAGCCATCAGCTGATTAAAGATTTCAAAAGGAAGTTAGACATGGTGGGGGTAGGGGTGGGCGTGCGGGTGGGGCGTGAAGCCAGGAGGGAAACTTCAGGAACCACAGAGCATCGTTAAAGCATCTTAACCACATTGCCCAACTCTCAGTGGGAGCCTGGGTTCTAAAACTCCTGCTTGTGTTAGCCCAAGAAAGGTCTGAAAGAGCTCCCCAACTCAGGTGAGGGCCAGAGTGTGTGTGAGTCAGGGTCCTCTGCTCATTTTAGTCTGTCATTGGCCCCTTTTGCAGTTGCTTCTTTCAAAGGAGGTAGGAAATCCAGACAAAGATTATGGAAGGTGCTGTTTGTCAGCTTGCTGTAGGAGATGCCCCATCATGTCCCACTGTGGTGGTGGAGTGCGTGTGTGCTCATGTGTGTGAAAGCGCACACTCCTCCTGGGTTTGCTGTTCAGGGAGGCTGAGCCAGAGATCACCAGCACTGCGTGGGACTGAAATGGGCACTAGTAGCCTCTATGGAAGAGGTAAAGTGGAGTTGAAAAGACAGGAACAAGCCCCAGGGGGATGACCCAGCTCTACTCTTCTTGCTGACCCTCAAAAGCCAGAAGGTGGGTGAAGAGATGTCCACCAAGATTTCACAAAAGCCACTTGTGACATTTCACTAACTGTACACCTCTCTGCACAGCTGTGGGTACACAGCTCAGTGACCTCTGGGCAGCCCGTCCAGATCACATCACAGTTAGGTTGACATCATTCTCCACTGATCAGCCTGACAGATGACAGATTGCATCTGAAGACAGTGGAGGAAGAGAGGAAGGAGAAGCGGCTGTGATGGTGGCTGAGGGTGCACAGCAAGTGGGGAGCTGAGCCCGCATCTGGCCTTTGCACCTGGCAGTGCAATAGCTCTTAGAATTCTACCAGAAGCCCGTCACTTGGAGCATCCCCCAGCAGTACCTTTATGACCCCTGCTCTTATCCATGTGGCAACATGAAGACTGGACTCGCTGGGTAAATGCTGGCCCCCAAGTTGCCTTCTAAGGTGAACATGCTCTGACCCAGGTAGGCTATTTATGGGGGCAAGGAAGCCCCTGGGTGCCCTCGGTGTACAGGTCTACTGCCAGGCCCCTGTTCTCTTGCCCTGCATTGAGCGCTGCCTTGTATCCAGCCAGGTCTCTGCATGCCACTGCTCTACACCAACTAGTGAGTTGAGGCACCTGTGCCTCACCAAAGAAAGCAACTGTCCAAGGTGGACCCAGCTCACCGCTCTGCAGGCTGTGAGGTGAGTTGGGTCCCATCATGACCATGGGAACTGGACCACCTGCACCATTATCAGTGTGCTGTCAGCTCCAAAACTTTCTCTTTTCCTGCTACCTCGACATCCCCACAATAAGGCTGTGAGTGAGCACCTTGCTTGGTGATCAGTCATACAAGAAGATGAAGGCCATGCCCTGCCATAAGTTCCCTTTCCTCCCCTCCCCTGATGGTATCCCGTGACCTCCCTGTGTGCCCATTGAGGTCCCAGCTGGGTATCTTCTTGCCCTTTGTTCAGCTGAGCCTGCTCCCTTGGCCACCTTCCAGTGGTCCTCTGGCCTGGGCAAACCACTTCCTCTATGCCTGCCCTCTGTCACCACCATCACCTGCATATCATGAAGGAAAGCAACTCCATGGGCTGGGCAGGGGCTGAGTGAGTTTGCCTGGCCACAGAGCAGAAGTGACAGTGACTTGCAGGGCTGCAGGAGGAGATAAGGGGACAGGTAGTGGCACTCAGCAGTGGCCATCAGTGTCATCACCAGGATCTGCATGGCCAGCATCCCCATGTCCCCCATGGCTGCAGGGGACCATTGGCCACTCAGGGCTCTTCAGAACCAAGATGGATGGGGCAAGCGGAAGGTCCCCTGGGGACAGGGCTTTGCCTTCCTTCCTGGACTGCCAAAAGGGCATCCTGTCCTTTCAAGAGGACCAGGAGAAGGAAAGAGGCAGTTAAGGGACCGTGGCTCAGCAGCCTGCCCGAGACAGACCCTCCAGGTACCAATACTCAGCCTGCAAGCCCGGCCATGCTGAAGTCCCTGCACAGCCCAGGCACTGCAAGAGAGGGGGTCTGTCTCTGGGCCCAATGTCAGTGTCCTTGTGAGCCTCTGTCCCTGTAAGTGTGGCTGACAACATGTGAGTCACATCTCTGCCTACCTCTCCATCACACCCCGTTCTCTCGTCCAGCTCACTGGCCAGCTCTGAGACCTCAGCAGGTGGCCCTCCACACATCAGGGCTCAGCAGCCTCAGTGGCATGCTGTGGTGGAGCTTGCTGTGGCTGTGTCTGGCCCGAACCATGTGCAAAGATGTTTTATCAGTCAGCATTCTCCAAACAGAGTGGTAACAGCTATTCATGTGCAAAACATTGTGTTTAGTATTCTACGTAATTTAAAGATGCTTTTAAAAGTTTGCAGGAGGATGTACTTAAATGTGATGCCATTTTATATAAGGTACCTGACTGTCTGTGGACTCTGTGAGGTCTTAGACTGATCCCTGCTGATTTTCCCACCAGGCCACACGAGTGGCTCCCAGCGTACCTGCCCCTGCTACTGGAAATGAATCTGAAACCTCCACCCTTGGACCTGGCCCTGAGAACAGACACTGTGCACCTCACTGCCCCACTCTGGGGTCTCCCTCTGAGCACAGTGGAGGAATTCTTTACCACAGGGCGGCTGTCGAGATGGACCTGCACACAGCAGCTGCTGTATCCAGGGCAAGAATCTAGGTCGCTGCTGAAGAGCTCGCTGCAAGCCAGGCCAAGGGCTCCTGCACAGCACCCTCCTTGCCTCCTGCTCCCTGGGACAGTGGAAGGCAGAGCTGCAGAGTGAGCTGTGATGTGGGAAGCAGCCAGGGTTGGCAGGAGTCCCTTTGAGCCTCCTTCATACTGCTTGCTTCCTTCCACTGTCAGCCTGATTTCTCTCTGAGACTTGGGGCAGCTCTGCTGCTAACGCTTCCTCGCTGTGTCTGGATGTTTTTCAGCTTTCTCCTTCTGTCCTCTTCCCACACATGGCCTTGACCCTCACTCAGGAGGAGCTGTGAGGAGAGGCTTCAGGCCCTGGGGAGGTGGCCAGCCATGTGCAAGGAGAGCTGGGCCTGCTCAAGCCCTGAGCTGGATTCCAGCCACTGGCCCGTGGTTCCCTCCTGGGGCCTTTCCCAGCTCTGAGCAGCTAAGGATACTCTTTCCATCCTCTCAGGCCACCAGCTACACCTCCAGCTGTGAAATACTCCTGCCAAACACCACAGCAGCTAGATTCCACCCAGCCTCGAGTGAACCTCTAAGGAGAATACAGTAAACAGCATCACAGGACATTGTCACTGGAGAAGCCCCCTACTCTGTGGAACACTGTTCCTTCAATACAACAGGAGAGAGAGGCAGAGGGGAGAGATGGTAGGGTAAACCTGGGGGTGGGGGGAGCAGGATGACTCAGGAGCTGAAAGAGGCTTAGGATACAAATCACCCATTTAATACCTAGCTCTGATTTAGATTCTGACTCAAATTGAGAAACAGTAAACAGGGTTTTTTTGGTCAGTTGGAAAATCCACAACTTCCTTGTCATTTCATGACATGAAGCAATGAGGGTCTGCTGCTTCTAGGTGTGAACTGTGACATGACTGTACTGTCTAAAGCAGCTTCCCTAAGCAGGGGAGGTACGTGCTGGGATCCTTACAGATGACTTGATGTCTGGGTTGCTTCAGAGCACCCTGGGTGGGAGCAGGGTAGAACTCAGGTGTGCATGTGGCTGGCTGTGAGTGGGACCAAGCTGACTGGGGAAGGAATTCTGGGTGGTGAACACACAGGGCTTCATTGTAACCCTGAACTTCAGGTATCTTTGAAAATTTCCAGGAGGCAGAGGAAAGAGGGAGGAAACAGTGGAAGAGAAAGAGGAGAAAAGAGAAGGAAGAAGGGGTGAATAGTAGTGGCTGAGGTTGCCCTGCTGGCTCCTGTCCTGGTAACCCACACAATCTGGCCAATGCAGACCCCAGAGCAACCCCCCTGCCTGGCAGCCCCCGAGCTCTGTGCTCCTCTTATCTCAGGTCTGGGACCACTCTTCTCCTGATGGGAACCCAGGCCAGGGTGGTGGCAGCAACCTTCCCACCCAGGGTGCTCACCATGGAGAGGCAGCCCCTCTGCTCCCGGATGATGGCGCCACAGCCCAGGAAGCCAGTCACCATGACAAGAGTGCCCGCGGAGATGAGGATGTAGGCTGAGGTGGCGAAGGTGCTGGAGGCCAAGACACCCAGATAGCCGCTCTTCTCTGTGAGGGTCCAAACACCCACGGCCATAACAGCTGCCCCACCTGCCTGCAGGAGACAAGGACAGGGAGGTGGCAGAGCCGCTGTGCACAGGTCCTTTTCTTTTTTTCCCCCATAATTTTATTAAGAAATAAATAGCAGTGAAACAGTTTTAAATCAAATTGGTATGACAGTTCCAATAATTAACACATTGCATGCTGTCTTCCTAGTGGTTATTTGTTGTACAAGATGCAGACATGATATCCTATTTACAAAAACTATTGGAACAAATCACTTTATTCATTGAATTAAGAGAATGTAGCTATATATCTATCCTTACCATTTTGAATACACAGATACAAAATGGTCATCCATCTGTATCCCCCTAGGTGTGTGAATTCAGCAAAATATTCCAAAATAGTCCAGTTGTCCAAAATAGTATTGGGTCTTCCACTTGACTGTCAGCGTCAGAAGCTGTTGACCTGAGACCCTACAGCTCAACATAACAGCATGGCTTTGCTTCTTATACTCCGTTTTTATACTTTTCTGCTGGATGGTTAAGACCAAGATAAAGGAAGACCTATGTAACAAGAATTGTAGCTTTTGGATCTGATAAGGTCAGTGAAATCCCCTCAGGATTTATCCTGAGACCCTGTACCTCAGATCGTAGATTCTTTGTCAGTGTCAGCCATGTGGATGAGTCACAGCCATTGCTTGGCCAATGTGCTCTCTGTGAAAGCCTGAGAGAATGTTTTCTCTCCATGTGACTCTCCTTAGGCACACTCTACATCATCAATCACTTTCCTCTTTGGCCCCATAATCTCCCTGATCAAAAAATTTGAGTTACATGATGTTACAGTACAAGTTCTCATATGTCCTGAGTCTTAATTGACTTTGGAAGGCTAGGGCCAAAATGTGGGCTTTCCTTGTGGCCCTCCTTTTTCTCTAATTTTTGGTCTGCAAACTTAGGTTGTTAAGCCTCCAGAAGACAAGTTTATTGTTATTACCATACAACTTAGGCTGTTGAGCTTAACCTCATTATCTGTCTGAATATCAAGCGTCTTAGGCATAACATGGAACAGGCATTTTTCATCAAGTATTGATATGCAGGACTTTTTCATGCATTAATCACCTTACTTTCCAAACAGCTGTGAGAAGCATTTGGCGCCTGATTTATTGGAGGCTTAGCGCCTCATCCAAAGTCACACGTGTAAGTTGAGAGCCAGAACCAGAGCCAGGTTTCATTTCATTTCCTTCCTTCCTTTCTCTAGATTTTTATTTCATTTAAAAACATAATTTTCTTCTTTTATTTGCACAGAGCCAGATTTCCACTCTGGGTCTGACCCTCAATGCCATGTGCCTTACATCAGTGTCTGTGGGGCCCTGTGACAGGGTGGGGAGATGGGTGTGGTTGTGGAATGACACAGCAGATCCTTCACCTGTCCAGTGTCCAGCCAAACTGAGGGTATCTGCCCTCACATGGACCCACTCCTGTGACCTCCAGGAGGGACACTCAGTGCTGCTGCTCCCTTGGTCCTTGCATGTGGGACTCTTAAGCACATTCTGGAGATGAAATGGGCCCACAGGCCAAGCTCTTGCCTCTAGGAGGGGCAGAGCCAGAGGCATTGACTGCCTCCTTCAGGAAAGGTTATGTGCCACATGTTCTTCCACAGAAGATGGGGAAGGAGATGTCCTCTTTACTGTCTGCTTGCCTTTCAGTCCTAAGACACTAGGGCACTACAGACTGCAGCTTGGGAGTGGCAGCTGTGAAATACAGCAGGGTGCCCCATGTGACCCCTCAATGAGGCTAATGACTCTGTCAGGGATGACCAAATTCAGTAGAACAAAATGTATGCACATGTGCATGCGTGTACACGTGCATGTGAGCATCCTCAGGTGCCAGTGTGAAATACTAGGGAAGCGTGCCTGGACTGGAGAAGAGGACCCCTCGGGCCTCTGATCGCACTGTCACAGGAAGCTGCACTTCTGCAACCCCCACTTATGGATATATGATGATTGTTTCCTCAGGGGGTCCTGGGTATGATCAAAGCTGGAGAAGCACACAGACACACAGACACACACACAGACACACAGATACACAGACACACACACACACTCTCTGGTGCTGCATCTGCCCCTTCAGTGCCTTTCCTTGTGAAGCTCTCCATCTGGTCAGAGGCTGACTCTGTAGAACCCTCTTTGTCACTTTCCTCTTCTCTGTTTTGGGCAGCCCCAGACCTCAGCAGAGGAACAGAAGACAGCTCTCAGGGTTAGCACGCACTTGGCGTTTACACAGCCAGTGTACGTGCACTCTCTATGTCTCCTCTGAACACTACAACTGCTTTGTGAGGATGGGCAGCATATATATCTGTTTTGCAGGTAAGGAAACAGGCTTGGGGAGAATAAGAATGTGGCCCGTGAGGTCGACACCATTACACTGTCAGAACTGAGAGTCAAAATTAGGTCTTGTGGGGGCAAATGCAGAGCTGTCTCTAGATACCATGGAGTGAATAGGGCTGCTCCTTCACCCCTGCTTTTAAAAACATTATGATTTCTTCTGAGTGCCACTTTATCTCTAATAGTACCATCACCAGGTATGAGAACCAGGTGTATGGAGTCACCTGAGGCCACAGTTGGGCCACCCCAAGTGCAACAGGAGAGGAAGTGCCTTCTCTCTTCTATCCATGACTCACACTTCTTTCTCACAATTCAATCTGCCTAAGACATCTTAGGCATTCCCCTAAGTATCTTACGATCAATGATCCAATGACATTTGGCAGCACTGTTCCTTCTGGGTATGGAAATCAATGATGTATCTTACAACTGATGATGTCTTGGATTTGATGAAATCCTGAAGTTCAGTAATTCTTTTGGTTCTCTGTGGGTGTGGGTTATCTGTGGCCCATGCAACCTCTTGCATAGTGAAGTATTTCTCGAGTCTGAGTCAAAGGAACTACACAATGGATGAAGCTGATCAATAGACCCTCACTGGTCAACTCTCATAACCAGTGAGAACTGACAGCAAAGTATCCCACACGTGGTTATTTTTGTCCCTTATGACATTTCTGGAAGGCTTGGGTAACAGTCTCAGCCTTTATAAGCAGCTGTGTGACCTAAAGATAGTCCCTCAAGCTCTTAGACTGTCTTTAGCTTATCTGGGAATGGGGCCTAGCATGAATATTTTCTCAAATTCCCAATGAGAAGCACAACCGAGATTCCACTCCCAGGATGCTGACTGAAGTGTGACTTTGGTTTCTCCTGGTTCCCCAAGTGATTATGCAGCTAGGCCTCAAAATAGACACAGAGGTGGAGGAGGCCTTGGAGACCACCACCCAAAGCTCCTCGCATGGTTGTTCAGGAATAGCCTTCCACCCCTGAACCTGAGGGTCTTATTGGATATGGAAGGCAATTTCTCTGGACAAGAGATCCAATTCTAGAACTCAGCACAGCGCCACCCACTGGGGCAAAGGGGCAGGACTTCTGGAGCCCTACTAATTATGAAATCTAGGTTGTGCCTCTCATTGAGAACTTCAGAACATATTCATGTAGACGGGTCCCTAGCTACTGTGCAGTGTCAAGGAGGGGTCTGGAGGAACACTCTGCCATGAACAAGATCTGGAAAGCCACAAAGACAAGCTCCTTCTGATGTCCAGAAGAAATCAAGAGATGAGCTTTCAGTCCTCCCAGTGTGGGTGACATCCAGTGAGGTGAGCAGGGAAAGGGATGACACCGTGAGCAGCCTTAAGGAATGAGAGGGTCCAAGTTCTGCTTAGGGACCTGGTCAGCTCTTTGGAAAACAACTTTTGCTCCAGGCAGGAGAGGTAAGGCTGCAAAATGTTGGAATGGGTCACAGTGGTCATCAAGGGGGTAGAAATCAGAAGGCCCCAGTCCTGCTGTGCCTCTGACCAGCCATGCATTTGTGGGGTGGATACTCAGCCTCTCTAGGCCTCCATTCTTCGCTGGTGAAAGGGGGTGCTGGCTAGGAATGACTCCAAGTCCCCTTCTATGTGGGCATTCCAACATCCCTGTAAATACCAGAACCCTTCTGCCAGGACAATTCCAGCAAGATGCTTACAGGCCAGTGGCTCTTGGCTGTCCATCAGCCTCATGGAAGCCCCCCAAGGCAGCAGAAAGAGAAGCAGATGAGGCAGAGAAAGGAGGACTGGTGGCTTAGGGCACTCTGACCCCAAGGAGGCTCAAATGGGTGTGGCTGTTCATGAAACTGGCCTTGCCTGCTGTAGACTATCAATGACTATAGCTTCAAAGTCACATTCTGTGGACAAAAGCCAGAAAGCTCTGCAGAGGATGAAGCTGGACACAGCAAGCCAGGGGGGCATAGCAGGACATTTGTGTCGAGTAACTTCAGGAAATACCAATGGGAGAAAAGAAACTGCCAGTGCGTTGATCAAGTCACTGCAAGGAGAAAGATTAGCTGGGCAGCCACATATGTGCGGCCTCTTAGAACCAAGGCTGCAGACACACAGGAAGGCAGGAAGAGGTTCCTGGAAGCTGGGAAGGACAGGAGTGGCAGAGGGGTAGGGCGCTCGGGTGGGGGCCTGGCAAGGACAGCTCTTTCCCTCCAGACTCAGGAAGTCATAGCCCTGGGAAACAGGACGCACACAGGGCAACAACATGGCCTGTGTTCATTGCCAAGCAGCATGCTGTTCTGTAAGAGTCTGGTGTTGGGTCCACCCATTTGAGACCACACAGCCCCCCAGGCTACTCGCCCCTGTGGTCTCAGCACCAGCACCACACTCCACTCAGACACCCAGGGTCATGTGTGACCCCTCTTCCCCTCCCATCCAGAGGTAGGTAGAGCTGCCGTGGTGCCCGTGGAGAAGTCTGATCATCCCCAGACCCCAGGGCACCAAACTCTTGCTCTTCTTCCTCCAGCCTGGGCTTTAGTGGCCATGAACTAAGCATCATCACTAAGGATGCATCAGTGGAATGGTCAGCCTTTTTGGGATTCAGGTTTTCTCTTCCTTTCTTCTCTTCTGCTGAACTCCTACTCATTCTCCTAAGTTCATTTCAAGTGTTCCAACTGCTCCCACCTGGGGGCAGGAGCACTC